TTTTTTTTTTTTTTTGACAATACAGGTGAACTATTTAAAGGGTATGGAGTCTAGAAATTAAAGGAAAAGGTTGTTCTGTCCATTCATCCCTCTACCATTTGCCAAGTTGTTTTCCTTTTAAAGGCCTGTCTTTCCTACTTGTGTCAATATTAAAGATAGCTGAGATGCAGTTTTAGATGGTGCAGTCCCCTTTCAGGATATCTAGGAGAAGAACAGTTATGTTCAGTAAGAAATTTCACATCTACATGTAATGTCTGCTCCTAGTGCAACCCAAGCTTCCAGTTCTCTACATTTTGGGTACTTGAACCAAAATGGCCTTTGGAATGCATTCACATTCCTCAACTTCACCACCTCCTTCTTCCTGATTGCTCTTTCATCAGTCTTCTCCTTGCTAGCAGAAAAGAGATTATGATTTTGGAGGCTGTGGGTTCAGTGATACTTTTTGCCAGTCCCCCATTTAGCCCTGAACTATCAGAGAAACTCCATCTCCACCACTGAAGTTGTAGTGTTTCAAGAGGCAGTTGATTATATTGGTTTTGTAGGGATTATTCTTGTGTACTGTATTTCCTTGCAGCCAACCTAGCATTTTCCACCAGCCTGTCTATCCCTGTCTCTTGAAGTCTTTCCTCCCCCTAAACCTTTTGAGTGTCATCATATAATGATTATTTCTCAGCTCCATTTCACCCATTACTTTTTCAATGGAGAACAGGCAGCCTATCTTTGGCCTTTAACCCAGTATTGCACTTGGTAGGGTAGGGGTCTAGTGGCTGCAGGCCCTGGCAGTGGGAAGAGGCAGGTGACTGTAGATGACCTCCTGCTCTTTGTAGCTGATTGGAGACCACTGCTCCCTCTGAACATCCAGCCCTCCATGCAAAGAGTGTACTATACGTGAAGCAAAGCAGTCACAAATGGCTGTGACTGGAATTGCTTGCCAAAGAAATTTCTGGCCTTTCCCTTTCCCCTAACTGCATCTGGGAAGAATCCTTATCTCTAGCTTGGTTTCCACATGAGGTTTTTCTGAGAAAGGGGACTGGGACAAGAAGTCTGTCTTATGGTTATAGTTAAGTAGGCAAGAAATCGTATTAATCCATTTTTGAGAGTTGCTTGTCTATATGATTTTTAAAAAGTCAAGTTTAATTTCACTTTTGGGATAATAATTAAAATGAGAGACATTTTGTAACCCTGTAAAATACATAGGAAATATAACATTCCAATGTACACAAAGAAAGTAAATTTTTTAATCAAATAAAGAGTATTATAAAATGAAAAAAAAAAAAGGCCCTTATTTAGATTTTTGGAGTTTTTTATCTGAGTAGGTCCCTCCTCATATATTCTTCTCATTCTAGTTACCTTGGTCTATCCTCAACTTATTGAAGCCTAGCATTTATGAGGCCCTGGTGGGTTCAATCCCCAGCACAAACAACTTCCAGGCAGAAATCCAGGGCAATTATATGGCTTAACCTTATCTTTTTTTTTTTCTCTTTTCCCTCAGATATCACAGTTCTGTGCTGCATGTGTTTTCCGATGTCTAAAAGCAGTTGCTTTCCATATTTTCCCCAGTTTTCAAGTTTTTTATAGTGGGAGCTTAAGTTTAAGTATGTTCATAGCTTGAATTAGGAATCCAACATACGTTATCTTGTGGTATGAAAATGGATCATAACATAATATAAAAAAAAATCAGTTGAAAATTTTCCAGGAAGGGGCTGTTTAAACTATAGAGGATTTGGCAAATACCAGTTGCTATTATAATTGCATGGTATGCTTATTATAAAGGAAGTCCAGTTTAATGACTTTAGTTGCACTTTACCAACTTATTTTGTTGGTAATGTTTTCATATAGTAGTATAATATAGTGTTTTCATATAGTAGTATAATATAGCAGTAAGTTAGAGAGCTTATCCTCTTTCTGCCATTTGAGAGATTATGGCTAAAGAAAAATTATTTTCCTTTCTATCACCCACAATTAACTTTGAGTATGTAGCCACTAATTCAGAAAACCACTAAAGTTTCTATCACAAACCTAATTTTCTTACCTATGAAATCCTATTTATTATTCTGTTAAGAATCATTAAAAAAAACTGAGATTGAACCTAGGGCATGGCATATGATTGGCAAGTTCTGTTACTAAGCTACATCCCTAGTTCAATCTTTCTTTTAATAAATTCTTAGTTTTGAAGGTTGTTTTTCTGTTTTTGTTTTGCTTTGGTTTGAAAGTAGTGTGCATGTTGATCTTGTCTTTGATGTTTCAGAGTTTGCCAAACTTGTGGAAGATTTCCGAAGTTTTGGGGTGAAGCTTATGCAGTCAACCAGTGGCCATAGCCATGGCACATTTGAATGGGTTGACAGCATATTAGTTCGGGCCCTGAAGTCTGGAGACTGGCTTCTAATGGACAATGTTAACTTCTGCAAGTAAGAACCTTATCCCCAATCATGAGTAGGCCTGATTGAAACTTGAGATATGCG